TACTAAAAAATTCGAAATATTTTTTATTCATTACATTCATTGCATTACCTACATGACATTACATAGAGTGACATTACATTGAATGATATTACATTGAATTGAATGACATCAAATGACATTACAAACATTGCTTTAAATAATATTTTTTGAAATTAATTTTTGACTGATAGAACATATCTAAAAGACGGGAGAATGATGGATAAGAGAGAGAGAGGGAAAGTGAGAAATAGAGGAAGAGAGATAGGGAGAGAGAAAGAGAAAGTAAGAAAGAAAGAAGAAAGAAACATAAGACGTAAAAAGGACGGTCAGAAGGAGAGAGAGAAGAACGAGAGAGAGAGAGAGAGAGATAGAGAGAGAGAGAGAGAGAAGAAAAGAGAAAGTGAAAAAGAAAGATAAAGTGATGGAGGAAAGTAAAACAGAATTAAGAACTGATTGAACAGCGCTACAAAAATTATTGTAATAAAAATAATCAGGATATTAAATGTTTTCGGCAAATGACTAATTACCGGAGACACTTTTTATTGTTTATACATAAAAAAAACCCACCACTACTACCACCATCGGAAAAGGATTTAAGACGGGGGAAGGTGGCAACTTTTCCAGAGACACCCCAAAACAGGGAGGCTTACACCAGAAAAATCATGTAACATTTTCCATGCTGTTTAAACCTTTGGTTCCAAATTGTGAAGAAACGCAGAAAAGGCAATAGAGAGATCGAAAACCATTTCTACACGGCTATGGAATTCAGTTATAATATTGATGATAATAACAACTGCAGCAACAAAAACTGCAGCTGTGTTAATGATGTGTTTTTTTTTTAAATTTTATTTACATTTTATACTCAAGCGCTCAATTTTACAACGTGGGAAATAATTGTTTGAAAGAAAAGAACAGGTTTTTAAATTTTATTATTATCAATATTAGTAGTAGTAGTAGTAGTAGTAGTAGTAGTAGTAGTAGTAGTAGTAGTAGTAGTAGTAGTAGTGGTGGTGGCTATATTAGTATTAATAGTAGTAGTAGTAGTAGTGGTAGTATTAGTATTAATAGTAGTAGTAGTAGTAGTAGTAGAATTTGTAGTAGTAGTAGTAGGTAATAATAGTAGTAGTAGTAGAAGAATTTGTAGTAGTAGTAGTAGGTTGTAGTAGTAATTTTATTATTTTTATGGTTATTATTGAAAAGAATCTATAGGCGAGCCCTGCTGACAACAATTAAAATAAAGAAAGTTACTACTGTAATGTTTTTAGTTTGGTTACTACTACTGCTACTACTGCTGCTACTACTGCTGCTACTACTACTACTGCTACTACTGCTGCTACTACTGTTATTACTGCTGCCTCTGCTACTACCGCTACTACTACTACTAATAATAAGAAGAAGTAGAAGAAGTAAAAGAATAATAATAACAAACATCTCTCTGACCAGGTATCAACGATGCCTAGCTCTATTTTATTGCCGTCATGTATAATAATAAAGTTATTATTATAATAATTAATAATAGTAATAATAATATTATTATTATTATTTATATTGCCCTTACTTAGTTTACGTTACCTTCTCTCCTAATTAGCGACAATATCACAAACACGAAAAATGTTAATAATTTCAGGTATTTCTGACAGGTATTCATACACAAATGCACACATACAAGACACGCACATACACTACACACACACACACGCACAGTCACACACACAATCCTATTCTTATTCTCATACTAGTTTTCTCTCTCTCTCTCTCTCTCTCTCTCTCCTTTCACTCTTTTTCTTTCTAATATTTTATTGTATTGTAATAATTGGTTACATTTCATATTACATTCTTCTTAATGATGAATGAAAGCCTAGTCACATGCACACGCACACACACACAAACACCCACACACAAATACACTTACAAACAGACGCATACACACATGTAGGAAGAGGGAGAGAGAGAGAGAGAGAAAGAAAAAGAGAAAGAGAAAAAAAAGAAAAAGAGAGAGAGAGAGAGAGGACAGAGAACACACACACACACACGAAGACTTCCTCGGGCATTTGAATTTTTGAAATATGCATGTTGAGAACATTAATATTTACGCAAGCCGTTTAAAGCATGGCGTATCGAATATGCAATAATAATAATAATAATAATTATTATAATAATTATATAATAATAATAATTAATATTATTAATTATAATATAAATCAATAAATAAATGAATAAAATAATAATAATAATGTTAATAACAATAATGAAGATTTTATACGGTTTTTACGTACTCACGCCTCATGACTTGACATTCTACTGCATTTTTTTTTAATGTCTGGTTAATTTTTTTTCTTCTATAGAATCAAAATGATCATCATATCGCAGAGTGTTTAAATTATAAAGTTGGAAATATATTTGATGGGTTTTAATTTGTGCCACAACCTTCTACGCCACTGCTGGGCAAACTTTTTTGCTGTGAGGGCCGCATTGAGAATTATTTTAAAGGGCCGTATATGTACTTAAATAGCAAATTTTTTCGACCCGGGAAAGAATTTTTTAAGATTTGTGGCTCCTTTTTTGGCCATAATGTCTGACTGACGTCCTGCCTTGCGGGCCACATAAAATAGCTTCGCGGGTCGTAGCTTGCCCACCCCTGACCAACATCATCAATATCGAAATGAAATGAAATTAAAATGTTTTTTAAATGTCAAGGTCGGTTCATAATGACACAAACACAAACAAACGAACGAACCTACAGAAGCAGACAAAAAATTAAAATAAAATAAATAAAAAATAAAATTACCTACAGTACACTAAGTTTATTGATGAACAACTTATAATTACAATGGCCATGATCATATTACATACGAATGTATGTATGTTTTTGTGTTTGTATATTTGTTTGTTTGATTGTATGTATGTTTGTATGTTTGTTTGTTAGCTTTTTTGTATGTTTGTTTGCATTGATTTTTGTTTGTTGGTATTGTTTGTGTGTTTTTGTTTGTTTGTTTGTTAGTATATATGTTTGTTGGTATGTTTGTTTGATTCTTTTTTGTTCGTTCGGTCGTTTGTCTGTATTTTTGTATGTTTGTATATATGTTTGTATGTATGTTTGTATGTGTGTGCATGTGTGTGTAGGTGGAAATTGAAGAGGTGGATGAGTTACGCTTGCATTCTTCGCGTATATATAATTGTACATTGGTAGAGTCGTTTAATTGTTTTTACATCCCTCTGCCTCTCTTTAAACGCTTGTTTATGTGGGTGTGGATGTGCATGCATGTGTGTGTGTGTGTGTGTGTGTGTGCGTGGTTGTGCGTGTGGGTGCGTGTGTTTGTTATTTTGTGTGTATGTGTGTGTGTGTGTGTGTGTGTGTGTGTTATTTTGTGTGTAAACTTTGTCCAATCGTTAAATGAAAATTTTTTGAATACTTAATTGTTGTTTACTCATAGAAATATAAATAACGATGAAGACAACGGTGCTGATTATGATTGTGGTGATGATGATGATGATGATGTGGTGATGATGACGAGGACGATGTTGATGATGATAATGAAATTACAACGGAGTTTAAAATTTGAAGAAAAAATTCTTTTCCTCCAACATTACATTTGATGTGAGAGTTTAACTTACATCATGATTTACAGCCACAAAAATATTTATGATGGGATGGATGACGATGACAACAACAACAACAACAACGACAACAACAACAACAACAACAACAACAACAATAATAATTATTATGCCTTTTTACAAAGTGCCTTTTTACGTCAGCTGTAAAAAATGTTATTGCTAATTATAAATACTCTACCTAATTATTAAAACATACATTCATACATGCTTACATAGATACATACATACATACATGCATACATACATACATACATACATACATACATACATACATACATACATACATACATACATACATACATACATACATACATACATACATACATACATACATACATACATACATACATACATACATACATACATACATACATACATACATACATACATACATACATACATACATACATACATACATACATACATACATACATACATACATACATACATACATACATACATACATATATACATAAATACATACATTCATACATACACACACACATATAAATATAAACACCTTCTTCGGCCTATAGATCTAACAAAGTATAAACGAAAATATACTAATTCTTTGGTGTTTTCATCATAATAAATGTATGTATGTATGTATTTAGTATGTATGTATGTATGTATGTATGTATGTATGCATGTATGTATGTTTTTATAGAATTCCTAAAATGTTTATAAAGTGATTTGAACCTTGCGATGAAGACTTGAACATGTGTTTTTTACTAGAAGATTTTGTAACTTTTGGTTGGAAAATTTATTAGTAATAATTTCAATAATAATACTAATTAATAATAATAATTATTATTATAATAATAAATATAATAATAATTTAATTATTATAGTAGATATTTTGTTATTATAGTTGATTTTATCATTTTAATTACTATTACAACTATTATTGATTCAAATGCTGCTACTACTTCTACTACCTCTACAGCTACTACTACTACTACTACTACTACTACTACTACTACTACTACTACTACTACTACTACTACTACTACTACTATTACTACTACAACTACTACTACTACTACTATTACTACTACAACAACTACTACTACTACTATTACATAATTATAATAATAATTATAATTTTAGTAATGATCATAATAATAATAATAATAACTACATTTTTTTGACAGAAAGTTAAAAGAGCTTTAAATAGGTCGAATTATTTCTGCTATCACCTGATTGTTTGGCTGATTCCTTGAATGAATATCTAAATATAGATACATAATTTATTGATTTCATTGGCTGATTGACCGGGTGAGTGGTTGATAGATTGACATCCTCTCCTCCTCCTTCTCATCATCATCATCATCATCTACTTTATCATCATCATCTACGTCATCAACTCTTCTATCGTCATCATAACTGAACTCTATAAAAAAATGTTGTCAACATCATTATCGTCACCGAACTTCATCAGCGTCGTCTTCATCTTCCTCATTTTTTTCCATTCTTCGCGAGCCACGAACAAATACGTATCCACCCACCTAACTAACAATAATAATAACAATAATAATAACAATAATAATAACAAAAATAATAATAATAATGACGAAACTATAGCTAGTAGCTACCATCATCAGCCCCACTATCATAGTGTTGGTGGTGTGAGTAAGAGGAGTTCCATCTTACAGTTGCAACATCATCAACAACATCAGTTAGATCTGCCTCTTCATCATCGCCAAGTGAGTGAGTGAGTGAGTGAGTGAGTGAGTGAGCCAGTGAGTGAATGAATGAGTGAGTGAGTGAATGAGTGAGTAATTGAATGAGTGAGTGAGTGAGTGAGTGAGTGAGTGATTGAATGAGTGAATGAGTGAGTGAGTGCGTGAATGAATGAATGAAAAAATGAATTGAATGAGTGAATGAATGAATGAATGAGTGAATGAGCAAATATATACGTGTTAGTTTGTATAGCAGTTTTTACATTCCGATAAGGATAATAAAATCATCATCCTGAAAACATATAAACAACTTTTATTCATTCATTCAATCATTAATTTATTCATTCGTTCATTCATTCATTCATTCATTTATTCATTCATTCATTCATTCATTTTTTCTTTCATTTACCCACACACATTCAATCTCGCAAACAGAACTTACGAGAATTTAGAAAAAAATTTTTGAATTTAAAAATTATTTTTGATGTGTTAATTTTAAAGAAACATTTACTACTAGTTTATTCTTTGTTTGTAAGTGCGCGCGTGTGTAAGTGTGTGTGTGTGTGTGAGTGTGTGTATTCACAAATGTTTGTTCGTTTGTTCGTTCGTTCGTGTGTCTGCTTGTTCATCCAATTTATTATTCATTCATTTATTCATTCATTCATTCATTTGTTCGTTCGTTCGTTCGTTCGTTCGTTCATTCATTCATTCATTCATTCATATATTCTTTGATATTTTTCTTTATAATTAGTTGTTAGTTTGTCGCGATATTGTTTATAGTCACGCTCGAGTTTGAAAAAACACCTCGTTTGAAAATTATTTTTCATTTCAAATGAATTAAATTTTATTCCGTTTGATGGGTTTTTTTTCGTTGTCGTCAAACTCTCTGCCATAATTGAATTGTAATCATTTTCATTGTCATCATCTTCTTCATCATCATCTTCATCATCATCTTCTTCATCGTCATCATCTTCCTAATCATCATCTTCACCATCATCTTCATCAGGACCAACTGTTGTCGGCAACGAACCAACAACAACAACACCATTTTTACAACAACAACAACAACAGCCCATTCCAACAGCCGCAACAACATGGAAGCAGACTTCAGCAGAAAAAATACCTGGAAGCTACACTGTCGTCCCACCTAACTTCTCTGCAGTTGCAAGCTCTTGACATGATGGCCACAACAAATAGAATCAAACACATCATCGAGCAAAACTGCCCCAAATCATCATCATCTCCATCATCATCATCATCGTCATCAGTTTCTTCATCATTACCATCATCATCATCATTCTCTTCATCGCCACCATCATCATCATCATCATCGAGTTTTGGTGATTTTAGAAGCGTTTTCGCCAGCCGTGAAGAGGATAACGACGATGATTCAAATGATGATGATGATGATGTTGTTGTTGGTGGTGATGGTAATGATGATGACAGTGATGACGATGATGATGATGATGGTTTAACCGGAAACAGCAACAGCACGGATAGTTTCAGCGTTGGTAAGAGGAGAAAGAAGACGGATTTTTATGGGATAGCTGGAAGATTTGGAAAGAGAGGAAGAGAGGGTGATCCGGCCGAGAGAGATGTTGAGAAACTTAGTGAGAGGGCCTAATCGATTGGTTGATTTGTATGGTTGATTGATTGACTGGCTGGTTGGTTGAGTGGTTGGTAGATGGAATTAATAATTGATCTAAGATTCGTTGGTTGGCTGGTTGATCTATTGATTAATTAATCAAATCGTTTGTCTAGATTTGTTATTCATGGTAAATTGGATTGCTTGGATTGGTTTCAAAAACCATGATTGGTTGATTGGTTGGTTCTTTGACTGATTGATTAATTGATTAACTGATTGACAAGTTAATTTAATTTTTTATGAATGAATAAATGGATGTGAAGAAAAGACTTGTACACAAATTCATCGTTCTATGACAAGACTAACATTATTTAGCAGCAACTAATTGATGACAACGAATATATATATATATATATATATATATATATATATATATACATATATATATGTATATATATATATATATATATATATATAACTTCAATAAAATTTCATTATTACGAATAATATAGTTAATATAATAAACGTTATTTATGAATAAAATAATAATAATAATAAATTTTTATAGTAATCGTTATTTTTGTTGTTGTGATTAATATTTATGATAACAAATAATAATTAGTTTAGCTGTATTATATATATATATATATATGTGTGTGTGTGTGTGTGTGTGTGTGTGTGTGTATGTGTGTGTATATATATATATATATATATATATAATATATATTTATTAGTGATCATTATCATCATCATCATCATCTTTTTCTTCTTCTTCAACTATTTTCATCATCATCGTCACCATCCTCTTCTTAATCATTGTCTGGAAAGCCATGAACTGTTTTTCAGCTAGTTGTGGAGGATAATAATGACAATGAGAACAATCCTTTATTAAGTTATATACAAAACAACATTGAAAATGGCAATAAAATGAAACCCATTGACAAGTGGAATAAAATAAGAGTGAAAGTGAAATAGAATAAAATACCAAGTAGAGTTTCAATTTAATCTACAAAGCTCTTCCTTCGTTCAAAGAATGAGTACAACTAGAGTTAATTAGTTTCAAAGTTCACATTTCTATCACATTATTACTATACAAAAGTCACATTTCTATCGCAATAGGCAGCATACGACGACGATGTTACAGTCCAAATAATGTTTACAAGAGGTAATTTTGCGCTACTGGTACACCTAGCGAAAAAATACCAATCAATCTATTTTTCATATTTTAATTAAATGGCTAAAAATAATTAGCTAAATAAGATATTTAAATACTTGAAACTTACAAACAATCATAGTTCACCTTTTAAAATCGATTTCTCCAATTTTTCAAAATCCCCTTTTCTCATTGGTCCCTTCTTAGTGACGTCATTTTTCGTTCCAGCCAATGGTCTGTTACTATTTATGAATTGATAGTTACTGTACAGACGATTCCATAAAATGTTTTCTTTTTTTCTAAGTTCACTTTTAGCGGCGTCAAACCTTCGGCGAGCGATGTTCAGTTTGGATTCTTTTTCGACTTCTGGTTTGCGCTTTGAAACCGTGTAGAAATTCCATTTGATTTTTACTGACATCGCTGTTGTTGATGTTGTTGTTGACGTTGTTGTTGCTATTGTTGATGTTGTTTTTATTATTATTAGTGTTGTTGTTGTTTATGTTGTTGATGTTGTTTTTGTTATTATTAATGTTGTTGTTGCTATTGTTGATGTTGTTTTTATTATTTCTTAAAATTGTTTTGTTGCTGATGTTGTTGCTCTTGTTATTATGTTGCTGGTGTTGTTGTCATTTAATTTTTTTTACTATTGTTGTTGTTATTGTTGTAGTTGTTGTTGTTGTTGTTGTTGTACTACAATTTAGTAATTAGTTAACCAATCCTGTTGTGTTGTTGCTGTTGTTGTTGTTGTACTACGATCTAGAAATTAGTTAACCAGTCAATTCTGTTACCTAGATTGATTTACGAGTCAACTCTAACAACTCATATTATATTTGTGTTGAGGAGAAAGAGAAAGAGAGAGAGAGAGAGAAAAAGAGAGAAAGCGAGAGAGATAAACTAGACGAGAGAGTGAGAAAAAAAAGGAATAATAACGATATCGTGAATGAAAGAAAAGAGTAGGAAGAAAGAGATAAAACATGAGTGAGAGAAAGAACGAAAGAAAGAGAAAGAGAGAGAGAGAGAGAAAGAGAGAGAAAGAAAGAGGGTGATTGAAAGAAGAAAACATGGGAGTAGAATTGAAAATAGAACAATATAAACAAGATAGATTGAGTGGTAAACAAAGAGTTTAAGATAAGTAGAAAAATATAATATTGAAAATTAAAATGAGAGAGAGTGAGAAAAAGAGGTGAAGAGAAAGAGAGAGAGAGAGAGAGAGAGAGAGAAAGAAAGAGTAAAACAAAACATAAAAAAGAGATGCGAAGAAAGAGGGCGAGAGAGAAAGAAAGAGAGAGAGAGAAGAGAGCTTACAAGGATGGGATGGAGTATCACAAATACAAGTTAGAGCATGTTGAGATCTTATCATCGGCGTCACTACATCTCCCACACACGCGATCACACAAACTCACACGCACAAAAACACACACGCACAAACACATACTCAAACACACACAAACACACACACACAAACACACACACACAAACACACATGAGAGTGTTCGTGGTTTGCTGTGTTGATATATGTGTGACTACTATACGTAAAAGAGCATATATCAAGTTTCATAGTACCCCTGTGTCAGAAATGTATTTATTATTATTATTATTATCGTTATTATCATTATTGTTGTTGTTGTTGTTATTGCTATTATTATTATTATTGTTTTTATTGTTGTTATTATTATTATTAAAAATTAGGATTCCTTCGTTGGCGCGTTTTATTGAAATCTAACGACCAATCAGCGAGCGAGTGTGTCGCCATTATGAAGGGCGACGACGACGATGATGATGATGATGATGATAAAGATGACGATGATTATGATGATGATGATAAAGAAGAAGAAGATGACGATAATGATGATGATGATAAAGAAAAAGATGATGATGATGATGAATGATGTTGATGATGGTGGTTGTGATGATGATGCTGCTTAACGTCTGCGCTAGGTAAATGAAATGCGTTTAATTTGTTTCATGCTTATGACGATGTTGTTTTTGTAGTCGACTGAAGTTAATGATATCATATTATCATCATTAATGTCTTGTATACTTCCTCTGACTCTCTTTCTCTTTTTCTCCCTCTCCTTCTCTCTCTCTTTCTCTCTTTCTCTTTTTCTGCAATCCTTTCTTCCTTTCGTTCTTATTTCATTTTTCTCATTCATTATTGATTGATTCATTATTTTTTCTCTCTCTCTTTCTCTTCCCCTTTCTCTCTCTCACGTATTTCCATGATAATATTTGCATGCCGTAAAAACGAAATTAATCCGAACATGAAGAATTAGTTAATACTAAAACAATGGTTGCATTCTTATAGTGTGTTTGCCCAATATTATTTCGGGCAATCTAACTCTCTCTTTCTCTCTCTCTCTCTCTCTTTTTCTCTCTCTTTCTTTTTCTACCTCACTATTTTCCCTTTTCTTTCTGTGTGTGTATTTGTGTATCTGTGTGTGTGTGTGTGTGTGTGTGTGTGAGTGTAGGTATGTATGTGTTTATAAATATACATATGTCTGTGTGTGTGTGTGTGTGTGTGTGCGTGTGCGTATTAAATAAATATCTTAGCAGACATGTACATCACAAGGTGTTTTTACATGCTTGAATAAGTGAGCGAGCGAACGAATGAATGAATAAATGGATGACTGAGTGAATGAATGAATGAATGAATGAACGAACGAACGAACGAACGAATGAATGAATGAATGAATGAATGAATGAATGCTTGAATGAATGCATGAATGAATGAATGAACGAACGAACAAACGAATGAATGAATGAATGAATAAATGACATGAATGAATGAATGAATGAATGAACGAACGAACGAACGAACGAACGAACGAATGAATGAATGCTTGAATGAATGCATGAATGAATGAATGAATGAATGAATGAATGAACGAACGC